AGCTAGCCGTTAATGCTGGTTAAATACAAAATGATATAGGATTGATTAAAAGGGTCAGGCTACCAGCCTACCAAAGCGTTTGAATCTGGAGGTAGCCACCATAAAATTAAAACGGGGATCAATGGCGTGTCATATCCCTACTGCTCTGCGAGCTGAACATGTAATTCTAAACTCCATGCTGCAGCCATCTCTCATGTCAGGCCTTCGAGCATTAGGCTCAATAACCCAGCCGCCCAGGGCTACTGTTGCTAACTATGATACTGTATTCATAAACAGCAGTGGACCACGATTAGTTTAGTATCTGTTTCCTGTGCAGAAGTTTAGCTATTGCATAGTGTGTTTGGGTTTTGATGGCTTTCATCAACTAGAAATGTTAATACTTATTGTTAGCAAACTAATACACAGGAAAAATCCTGATAAACCTGTGCAAATGGTGTGCTACAAATCTATATATAGATATATAGATATATTATAGCCTGGTTTGTAATAAACATTGTCTTAGATAAAGAAAGAACATATATATTTATATATATAGTCATATTCTTTCTTTATCTAAGACAATGTTTATTTTGAGCCAGACTATAATCCACCTACTATAATCCACTTTATTTTCAGTGCAGTGTTTTGTAAAAATTTGTCCATAATAAGGAATTATAGTGGAGCCTCTGAATCCTGAGAAAGCAAATGAAATCGTGGTAATGGTCATTAAGCACCTATTTAAATTTTAAACGCTTTAAAGGAAAAATCTCGGCATCATTTTTAGTTTATTTCCAATTAACTGTTCGGTTAAGTAATGTTGGTAGTAAGTAATGATCTAATCACAACAGCGAGAAAAAAAATCAACCTATTGATCCCTCATATAATGGTTTAAAAGCACTTACTAAGTATAAAATCTTAAAAGAGTAATGACCCCAAATAAATAATTAAAATGCCCTCAGAGAATGGTTGGGTTTTCAATATTGAATAACATTATTAAGAGTCTGATAGAAGGGATGACCTTTGGAGGCCATTATTAACTTGTTCTAATAGGCTGTATTTGGCAGCATTGCCTCTTTGAATAGCTGTGATGTTGGTATGACAGACGATCGATTTAATGTCACATTTGTTTGGAGATGGCGCTGCTTTGCTGTCTATCTAATGTGTCTATGTTAGTGATTTCTACCTGCAGCCAGCCCTGGTTTAACCCTCAGCTTGTAATAGCTTAATGTGAGAAACCTAGTGCATGCTTGCCTACCCCCCAAAGAGCTGTGCTTTTCATGTGATGAATTAAGGTTTTTTTTTTCCGAAATATCTCATTCCATATTGCTACAGGTCACTGTTGTCATGAACACGTTATAAATGTGCCAGGATGTACAGTAAACTTTTTTCCCCTTTGGTTAAATACTTTTAAAAAAAAGTCTACTCTGGAAATTCTTATTTGAAAAAAAGACTAATGGAAAATATTTTCCCTCAAACAATATGTTGACAATAATTTGGGGATCACAAGAAAAGGTCATCTTAGAAACACTTGTGATAGTATTTCTATAATCTTTCCTCCTAAACTGGCTGAACAGAGCTGGTGCGTGTAGTTCTCTTTATACATGCACAGCTAAATACACACCTTCTGACTTTCTTTGCAATCCTTCTTTTAGCACCTGTAAGTTGGACATGATAAAGGTCATAAATCCACACTCTTTGCCTCTCTCTCCTTTCCGCAGACTGCACGTCTACATTTATTATTGTCTCTCTTGTCTTACTTTCTTGGGATTTATACTCTATGAATTCGACTCAGCGCATTTCAGTTGAATAAGCAGATGAAGTACAAGACTTATATACTGTGTCATAGCTTTTCCCAGACACTCCCTAATCAGACTAGTGGTCTACAAAGACAGATTTTCGTTCCTGCACTGGTGTGTTGGAATGAGATGCCACTCACCATTAGTGGAAGCTGTTATTGGACGCCAGGCTTTAAATGTAAATACGAATCAGTCATCAGCTTATTGTTTCACAATAACACCAGGCGGTTTGCTTCTTACTGCTTGTGCATTTCCATTATGTGCTGTATGAATTGAAATAAAACTTTACATTCATAGCTGTGACATGAGGGAATGTTTTGCTTGTGCTCAATTTTGCTATTACAGGAATGCTGCATTCACTTTCACTTCCCTTTCTTCACTGATTCTTTTTGCCTCACATCTTGTGTCATCAGACATAACTTAAAAATACTTGCCTCGTTGACTATAGGTCATGAGAGCCAATGAGGCCGAACATAAAGGCCTACAACAAAGACCTAGTGTAATGAGACGCACCATAAATGGAGAACAGAATCAAATGAATTGTATCCCAAAAAGTCACTTTTTCCCCATCACGAAACAAAGTTTCATAGGAAGTATTAATGTTTATTTGTCAGTGCACCTGGTGATTTTCTGCAGTCCTATAGAACTTAATGATGGCACGTCTGTGTATAGTTTCAGTGGAGCAGAGCAAAGTGGGTGTGTGGTCTCTGTATGCATGTGTGTGTGTGTGTCACAAGCTGACTGGTGGATTAGCTGTCCGATGGCAGAAGGAGAGGGATCTGCTTTGACAGTGTGGTAGTTAGCCCATCTGTCTATAATCTGCTGTGTCAGTGTGTGCGTGCTGCTGCTTTGGTACTACCTGCCACCAGGTGGTCAGCAGTACCCCAACGCCCTGAAATAAAGCTGCGAGGGAGGTGGAGCCTAGTGGTCGGCACACGTTCCCAACAAACTTGATCAGCTGTTGCTCGTATGCTGCACTACATTCTAATACTTAAAATCACAGAGATGATTGCTCACATTTATTGAGTTAAGAATAAACTGTTATGTAGTCATTATTATTATTGAGAAGACTAACAGACTTTTAGCTCTTTTTTTAGCTTTTACACTGGCAGCCAATAATTTGTGCATAAGGGTTTCCAATTAATGTGTGCAGATATGAATTAGAATAGAAACATAAGGCCTATATTTAGAAAGCCTGTCTTATAATCAGCTACTACCCACCCAGCTTAAAGACAGCTGTGAGAATTGGAATATGGAACGTATTTCCCAGTGGATTAATTATATTTCACTGATCATCTGGATGTATTTTATTCTTATTATTTTTGCTGCGAATAGTATATTGCGTGTCAAATATGGATTGCTTGAACACCCTGTGGTCTTTCTGTTTCTCATACCTATGGCAGTAAATGTCTGAGAGTAATTCTACTTGAGCATTAAGTTGGTTTGAGATACTTTTAAATGCAGAAAAATACGGAGCGTAGTCCCGCCTGCTGCTTCGTCAGGCAGAGTGCATTCCAGTGATATTTACTATTATTCAGCAGGAGAGAGAGAGAACTTTCATAAGTAACATTCAGAATTAAACTTAACCAGATGAACAAGCAGTTGATTTCATAATTCATCTGTACTCTAACATTAACTCATAGGTACGTCATAGTATAGCTGCTGTTAATACCCTATTGGAAGTATTGGGTCTCTGATGCTGAGAGGGTTTTGTTAAGACCATAGACTAACTTGTGATTAGAGCAGGGTGATATGACCAAAGATATTTATCACGATATACATTTGAAAATTTGCGATAACGGACAATATAATTGACACTAGACAAAATACTCTACAACTTTGTTAGTGCACAAAACAAACCATCAATATATTTTCACGTAAACAAGCAGCTGTTTTTTATGTGCATTAAAGTTATATAAAAATTTAACAGTGCAAATGCAAAATCCTTGCTGACATTTTAACCGAAAGGCATTTCCAGTGGAAATTGGCCGACATATCCTCAGCATAACCATGTATAATATCCACAAAACTTAAAAAGAGGTTATACACACACAATACGGTAATATTATGTTGAAGCACAGTATGTATCACTCCGCGAGGCTCCTGCCTACGATAGCCGTAACGCTCCGACAATCCATCAAGCGGTGCGGGTTTGTAGCTTAGCAAAGTCGTACTAAAACATTTGACAGATTTTCGAGCGCCGTGTACATAAAATCGTTTTGAGGTCAGTGAACACAACCAGAATTCATACATAAGGCACACGGGATTATAAGGGGCACTGTCGATTTTCAGAAAAAAGGACTGATTTTAAGTGTGTTGTATTTTCCAAAAAACACGGTAATAACGACGGCCCGCTAGCATGCTCTACCAAAAATAGTGCTTTGTTGTGTATCTGACGGACAAAAGCTAAACCAGTTCCACACCACTGAAGTTGCAGCATTTTTACAAACCAGTTCTGGTTCATCCGTTTCATTCAACGATCTGCTTTCGCCCTTCTCATTCTCCGTCGCCGCCATGCTTTTTCTGCCATGTGCGTATGAAAACAAAGGCACTGGACATGCGCGTTTTACCCATATTCTATCGCGATATTTCATTTTCTTATCGTTGCACAACATTATACCGGTATTACCATGAACGGTATGATATGGCACAGCCCTACTTGTGATTGTCAATTTCAGTGCATCAGTTTTTGAAAAATTGTTGCTGAGTTGTTTATGATACAGAGCCAGCTGTTTTCTCAGCACAAGAAGAGCCTACCACACTCCTTCCTTCCACAATTGATCACTTCTTTGATCCAGATGCTGTGCATGTTTCAAGCAGCTCTACACTGAGAAAAGATTTTACTCACTCTGCTATTGTACAATAGCAGAAAAAATAGAACGTCAATATATGATGGTCAGTGTTGCTATTGTGCGGGGCTGCCATGAATTCACTGAGGAATAGGAAACCTTGACTTGGTCACATAATATGCATATTTGGGTGGCTGTTAATAAAACAGGTTGGCCTGTGTGTCTGCATGACATTTAATGTGAACACGTGCCTTTAAAAGCACATCTTAGATTTAAAAGGAGCTGTTCTACAGCATTATCTTGTCTTGGGATTGCCTGCCTGTCTTTCTGTAAAGTTTTGTGTATATCGACTGAGAGGATTTAGCAATACTGAAGAAGCAAATCACTGATCAGTTCTACAACATGCCAATCTAAGTTGTTTTTTTCTTCCCCTCAGGGAACCTGGGTCGTGTTGACTACATCAGTGAGTTTGAATTTGATCTCTTCATCCGGCCTGACACCTGCAACCCCCGATTCAGAGTGTGGTTTAACTTCACTGTGGAGAACGTCCGAGAGACACAGGTTAGCGTGCTTTGGCCTTTTAGTGTGTTTGCTGGCTGTCTCTGTATGCACCCACGTCTTCACTTATTAATTAATTTAGAATAGACAATACTATCTAACTTATCCCTTTCACGTATAGTGGTCATTATAGTGGACAGCTACTCAAAGGCTGTTTTCTTGTATTTGTGTCAGTGATGGTATACTTGCACATAAACCACTACATTGGACACTGATGTGCCACTCCATACTGTCAAAACGTGTGTTGTCCACCTAAGTAGACATGTAAAAAACTTTTAAAAAGAAAGTTCAAAAATCTTTTTTTATGCCTAAAGATGAATAAATATATGAGGAAAAAAAAATCCTGATTGAGGTTGTCATAAATCATGCATGAAAGGGTTAATGTAGATTTTTTTAGGTGTATACTCACACAACTATAAACTTACAGCAATGTTTGCATCACTATCAACTTCTCTTCTTACTTTAATATTACATATATCTTATTATGAGTAAAGAATGGTAATGTAGCTGCAATTTGCAACCAACTGTTTGCCACTTCCTGTTTGGTGGCCTTTATTTTAATGAAATAATGCTAACTTTCTTCAAGAAGCAGTGTTTGGTTTGTTCTGAGCTACTTTAGCAAAACATAGCAAACTGGATAGAAGAAAACTCCATATAGATATAAGCAATTGTTTTAACGCAAGGAAACCAAATATGTAAAATTTATACAGCTCCAAATCACAACAACAATCGCCTCAAGGCTGTTAAAGGTAAGGTAAAGTAAAGACTCTACAATAAAAGAGAGAAAACCCCAACAGTCAGACAGCCCCCCTATGATCACGCATTTTGCAACAGTGAGAAGGAAAAACTTCAGGAAGAAATCTATGGGAGAGCCAGGCTCAGGGCCCATGATTAAATGATTAAATGCAAAGTGGTGTATAAACATATAGAGAGTGAAAAGAGGCGAGTAGAGACAAAACTCTCAGTGCATGATGGGAAGCCCCCAGCGGCCTAGGCTTATTGCAGCATAACCAAGAGAGGGTTCAGGGGGACCTGATCCAGCCCTAACTGTAAGTTTTATCAAAAAGGAAACTTTAATTCTAATCTTAAAACTAGAGAGGGTATCTGTCTCCTAAATCTAAATTGGGAGCTGGTTCCACAGAAGAGGGGCTTGAAAGTTGAAGGCTCTGCCTCCCGTTTTACTATTAATACCCCAAGAACCACAAGTAAGCATGTGATATACTACTATGATTGCTACTACCATTTTCTATCCTAAATGCTGGTCCTTTATTTTCAACAGGATTATGCTAAAGGACATAACAAAATATGTGGTTCTCAGTATTTCTTATCTGTTATGCACAAAAATGTTAACTTTACTTAAAACTAAAGTTAACTTACTAGATTCTGTGTTTCACTGGAACATTGTTCAGGGGTCGTGTGCTTATGTATTTGTAGATACCAACAAGGTTTTAATGAGCAAGAGATATTACTGGTATGAAATAATATTTTATTTCTGTATGATATAATTTCACTGTGTTATTTGTAAGGATAACACTTGACAATGGGTTCTTGGTGAGCAATGGCTCCTAATAGTTGAGTGAATGCCGACCCCAGCCCAGCAGCCAGACCCTGAACTTTAACAGGTAACAAAGGCAGTGATGAAGCTGCAGCCTCGATTCTACTTGTTCATGTTTCTAAAGTAGAATCGCCGTGGCGATCCCTTCAAAGTCTCTGTGGGCCGGATTTCACCTTTGCTTGGCGCTGGCGGCTTTTTGTTCCTACCTAAATACTAAGATTAAGATCATATATGTACTCTTATTAGGATAGGGATTTGTGGTGGTGTGTGGGGCTGTAGCCTGCAGGTTTACAGTGTAATAGTATAACAAATTACTTTCCCCTGGGAGTAATTGAGTAAAGTACTGCATTACTTTTAAGAAAAGTATTCTGTGTAATATGTGTATTACATTACACATTACACTCATCACAACAAAGAGGGAAAATACCTCCAGCATTCAGAAACATTTGACCATACAGCATGCCTGTATGTCTTTGATATGCTGCTTAGCGATGGCGGTGACTCTCAAAGCCGAGCGAATGAGAGACCAATGAGAATCGATAAGGAACTGAATTGATAGGTGATATTGATAATGCAGTCTGAAATGCTAAACTCCACAGTTATATGTCATATTCTATCATTTGTCCTAAACATGTGCAGCGTAATCTGTCGCAATACTTCCCTGAATGTTACATACTTCATTTTTCATTTGAAAGTTGAAACTTTTCCCCCCTCAGAGCTAGTGGTAGAGGAAATCTTCAATTTACTACCTCACTTCTTGTCACAGCCTCCAAACTTCCTGCCGCTGGCAAGCTTGGAGCTGGTGATTGGCTGACAGACGTGGTCACATGGCAAAGAGATACACCGCGTGTGTGTGCACCGTGTGTGGCTTAAGGGGATGAAGGCTTGTTGTATCATTTGAATATAACATTGCAGAATAAAAAGACGGAAAAACTGGCAATATTGGCATTTAAGTTTGACTGCTGCAGTGTAATTTGTGCACAGCACAGCAGCACTTGTCAGGTGTAGAAAAAAATGAGATAAAGTAAAGAAACAGACAGTCTGGAGACAGCTAGATATAAAGACAGAGTTGATTAGATAGAAAGAAGCAAAGAGACGGGCAAAAAGATAGTGAGGAAAAAGCAAATGTAAAGTGACAATGGAAGGAAAAAAGGAAAGCAAAACATAGAGAATGGCAAGGAGGGATCCACAGCGTGCTGCTGTCTTCCTGTAGCTTGTCCAGCCCAGTCTATCTGAGGCTATCAGGCCTATCAGCCCATCTCCCCGCAGTGCTGTAGTCAGCACTAATCACATTTTATGGCACTGAGATGAATGGGAGGCCTCGGCTTGGAGCCGGATCGATCCCAGGACCAGATAGACCAGCACTAGCAGCCTGCAGCCTGGGCCAATAGGATATTTGCTGTTGTGGCCAAATGACAGAAAATGTGTGAGACAGTGACAGAGAGAAAGGGACAGGGAAGGGAAATGTGACACTGTAATGACTGGAGATTTATAAATATCATAGATAATAATATGCTGTATATTGTGGCGCATGCATGCAGCAGGCACAGAGGTGACAAAAACAGGTGAACATCTATCCCTATTGCACCTCCCTGCTCGATCTTTCTTTATAGACCCCCTCAAAAGCGTTTTTTCATTAAAAAAACGGTTTCTTATCTGTCCAATTTCCTTCTTCAAAAAAGGTCTTGTGTGAATTTAATCTACTCCAGTGGAAGGTGTTGTGGTTAAGTGCTGCCTGTGCATTTTGTCAGAGTGTGCGTATGTATACACAGGCAGTGTGATTAGATTGTGTCTGTGTGCCTGGAATCATCAGAATTCACATAAATCTTTACTTTATATACTAATGATTGCAATATTGTTGTGACATGAAGCAAAAAAATAAAGCTGAGAAATTTAATAGAGAAAGAATAATAGCATGAGTAAATAAACCAGCTAAGTGCAGCTATAGTATGGGGGAGAGGCTGTGCTATAGAGATATCAGTGGGTTCCAGGGAAGAACTGGGCTGTTGGAGTGTTTCATCCAGCTAAGCCTTGCTAACTCTCAGCCTGAGCCAAGGGAATGGGGAACAGTAAAAGCCCGTGATATTGGAAGTGAGATGGCCATTTTGAAGGAATGTAAGCTGGTGAAACAGATTTGGTCTGCCTCAATCAGCTTAGCAGCTTTGTGGAAATTGGCTTCACCGTAGCACCGGTTATGATGGATGGCCGGATGGATGAATGTCTCTTTTTTTGTATGTCCTTCCTTTTTGTGTGGTTATCGAACCACTCACTTACCTCTGAAAGTTAAGGCCAATTCTGGTTCTGTTGGTGGCAATAAGTGGGCCATGTGACTGTTTGAAGCGGTGTTAATTTTTCAGGAGAGGTGCACAAAAATTGTTTTCTTCTCAAAGCAAAAAGTACAAAGTTTGTGTATTATTGAAACACATGAAACGACACGAGCCCTTACTTACTATGACCTGTATGAAAGCTTCACGTGATTTAAATTAAGTTTTAATTTCCTGCTTATATTAAAAGGCTTTAACCTTACCCTTATTCTAAAATGAAATTTAATTTACTTTAGCATAAAATACATTTATATTGATTTCTCAAAGACTCATTTTGCAGCAGGAAAAACCCCGATATTAGACAGAGACCACATGCTGGTGTATGAAATTTAGATGCATTGGAAGTCACAGCTATTTGATGGATTGCTGTGAAATTATTTAGGTTCATATTCCTCTCAGCGGGCATGTACCTGCAGAACTTATGACATCCCCATCAGTCTCATCTGTCTTTTACAAATCTCATCTGCTAACATGCAAAGCAGAGATGATGAACATAGCATGCGTTAGACCTAATAAACAGCAGCATGTGCAAAAGCATGAAAAATATGCATGACTGCGTATTCTTAGTGATGTGACCAACATGTGAGTTGATAAGCGATTGAAATGGACTCATTTATTATTCAGTTTTGGTTGTTTTTTTGTGCTTCATAATTTCTGTAAAGTGTTTCCCAGTTGTCTGCAGAGCGGGCAGAATTAGAGCAAATTTGTCTCAAATATTTGGAAAGACTGCAGGGCTTGTGGCAGACTACACGACAACAAAATACAACATACAAGATCAGAGACTAGTAACTGCTGTCTTTGTTTTCACTAATAATAAGCAAGTAGGGGGGAAAAGGAGAAAAGAAATTATACAATACACATGGAATTAAGTAAACTGAGTTAAAATCAAAGTTGTCTGATGTATGGAGTCTTCTTCAAGTAAAAATTGCAGGAAGCCAGTGAGATAGGACCTTTGAAAAAAGTTTCATACTGAGTGAATTTCTACCTGATATGTAACTTCTAGCTACCACGATTTCATTCCAGTTTCTGCCTATGTTACCATCAGAAACCAGTGGGTGAGTTGATATGAAACTCCATTGACTAAGTTGATATGCTTTCCCATTCAGCTGTAGGGGTGTACTTGA